CGGAAGAGACGCCAACTTACGAGTGATATGGACCTGATTAATGTGATTATAGCGAAGATGCGGAGAACGATAGAATTGAATCTCTAACAGAATCAACCTGTAATGAAATTTATAAAAATAAGCAGATAATTTATTCCTATTTAAATCTATTTCTAAATGAGATATTGATTTATCCTTTAACTTATCTTTTAATTTAATTGCTATGATCTTGTGGCCTCAAGCAATAAGAAGAGAAAAAATGAATTATGGTTTAATAATCTATGCATCTATGGTTAATAATAAATCTATGCTTAACAATAATCGACACGTGAGGAATTTATCGTCAGATTTTCTGTTAAAATATATATTCGCGAATCTAAAAAAAATAACCTGGGAATTTTGCTCTCGCATATCTGCTTTGTGGAGTGTTCACTCGTGATCTAAAAGGTTTGTGCACTGATTTTTTGTTGACTTTGGAACGCGTTCTAACTTCAGGAGAGAGACAACCACTGCTTCATACGCCTGCGCTGTCACTTATTACGAGAGCAGAAGGATGGCATATATGTAGTGTCAAATAAGTAGTGATTGTGGTGTAGAGACAAATGTCTTGGAGACGCTTTGAGTTATAATTGAAAAAATGAAGAAAACAAATAGAGATTGTGAAAAAAAACCACAAAATGTTTCGTAAAATTTGTAAAACAGCATATTAAAGGAAAGTATTAATTATCTAATAATATTTTAAATGAAAAATATTTTTAAATTTGAATATAAGTTAAAAAAGTTATAAACCATAATTTCTTTAATGTTAATAATTTTATAGCTATAAATTGGCCATCAATGTTAAGTATAAATACGAATATGTATGTTTCTACGAATATATATGTATGAATGCTATCATTTGTATAGGTGGGAAATTATGTTATTGCGCTCATAAAAAATAAGCAGCAGACCAAGTCGATATTTTTTTAACAAGATACTCATATCATTCAACTTAGTCTGCTGCTTACTTTTGTTGAACACAATAATATAATTCCTCACCTACACAAATAGTAGCATTATATACATATTAATTTAATGTCGATGACAAATTTATAGCTTTAATTAACATTAAATATTGGGAGTACAAATTAGTTCAGTCCGTTTTTTATGTTAAAAGATGTATTTATTTCAAAATAAAATGAATGAACAGATCAATTAAAGTATTTTCCATCGCTGGCTACTAATTTCTCCCATTTCTCAGGCAATTTTCGAATTCCATCTCGAAAAAATGACTCGTCTTTTGAGGCGATTCAAGTTTGGAGCCAATTTTCGATATCTGCGAAAGAAGTGAACCGGTGACCTGCCAAATCGTGCTGCATCCTTCGGAACAACCAGTAATCAGAAGGAACAATGTCCGGAGAATACGGCGGGTGCGGTAAAACATCCCATTTGAGCGTTTCTAAATATTTTTTTACGACTTTTGCGACATGAGGCCGAGCATCTTTCGGTTTCAGTTCATAAGGCATCCAATTTCCTCGTTTTTGAATAATTCCCATGTCTCTAAATCGTACGGAAACGGCTTGTTGAGTCATTCCCAATGATTCTGTAAGCTCCTCTTGCGTTTAACTCAGATCTTCTTCGAGTAATGCCTCTAATTCTTTGTCCTCGAAATTTTTTGGCTGTCCAGAGCGAGGCTTGTTTTCGACACTGAAATCTCCATCCTTAAAACTCGAAACTATTCCCTACATGATTTATCAGTTGGAGCAGCGTCGCCATAAACTTCAACAAGCATTCGATGGGCTTCGACTACACTTTTCTTCCAATTAAAGCAGAAAATTAAAACCTCCCGCAAATGCTGCTTGGTTAACACAAAATTCGACATTTTCTATACTGTAAAAAGCAAGGTATGAAACTCAAAGCGATATAAACTGAATATTATTGGCAGATGTCTAACTTCTCTGAAACCGCCAAAATCGGCAGTCACTATAAACCATTCATAACAGCCGAAGCCATTTTTTGAAAACGGACCGAACTAATTTGTACATCCAATATAAATTATTAAAATTATGATTTATAACTTTTTTAACATACATTTAAATTAGAAATATAAAAACGAACTTATTGTGTCTCAAAGAATAAGTGAATCTCATAGTATCATTTTACAGGATATAAGTATAACATATTAAGAATAACAGACATAAGATGATGAAACAGTATAAGCAAGATATTGCTGCGCCCGTGTTTTTGGGGGATGTGTTATCCCCACGCTCCTGAGTGGACTGCAAAGGAATCGAGCAGAGATTGTTTGACAGCTGTTGTTGTCAAGGAGGTTGTTTAAAAAATAAAAGAAGAAGAGATGAGAGAGAGTCGCCCTAGTCTTGTCAAGACGAACGGACGTATTAAAATAAAGCTTCTTTCGTTTTGTTAATTCCGTGTTATTTTTCTTGCGCAAGGTCGCAACAATATTATCGGTCAAAACTATGATGCATATAACGTTTTGCCATTTTTATCCACGATCACTATTTGTTTCTTCATTTCTTCAATTATTACTCAAAGCGTCTCCAAGACATTTGTCCAAGACATTTGTCTCTACACCACAATCAGTACTTATTTGACACTACGTATATGCCATCCTTCTGTTCTCGTAATAAGTGACAGTGCAGGCGTATGAAACAGTGGTTGTCTCTCTCTTGAAGTTGGAACGCGTTCCGAAGTCAATAAAATATCGATGCACAAACTTTTTAGATCACGAATGTTCATAAACTGTGCTCTGAAGTCCAGCCAAGTCTTGTTTGCGTCATGTCTGTGTGTAACAATGTCATGTGTCAATGTCATGTCTTCGTATACGAAAGAACTATATATAGTAAAACGATGAACTTTTCACGTGGCATAAAAATCTTAGCAAAAACAGAGAAAAAAGAGAAAAAAAGAACTTATATAATACAGATATAAATTCTAGTGTAATGGGTTGTGGAATAACGATTAAATTATTTTACAATGATAATTTAAAGAAAATTGACAATTGACTGGAAGAAAAAAATATGTGATGATATTATTATTGCTAAATTATAAGACTACACTACAATATATTATATCATATAATATTATGCTATAGTATTATTTAAATGAGACGAGGAATAAGAATTTCTTCGGAGAGGTGAAATGTAATGAAACAAATAAACATAATTAATTACTAACTATAGAGACAATATATTTTAATTAAGCTCGTCCGAGAGGGCCGCGATGTTTCAGCGAATCAGCGATTAGCATGTCCGATCATGATTATTGTTGAAAATTACTTCGGAAAAAATGATGTATGGCCAAAAATTCATATCTCATCGAAAATGATTGCAAAATGCAAGCTATAGAAATTAAAAATATAACGAACAAAATTTATCTCTCCTTATGAGAAAGGCGAGAACACAACCGACTTTCCGGTTGTTTACGTCAAACTGAACGAGAACCGGTATCAGATTCTCCCACTCGACATTCATCTTTCTTATTATTGCGTATCTGCTTTCCAGCGGGAGAAGCCAGAGTAGTACTAAATTGGCCGTGACATTACTCGTGCATGCAAGAGCGTACACAAGAGCGTTTAGTGCACATGGACAGAGATATACTTTATGTCAGTGTCCTTTTTTATCGATAGGTAGCATTTTTGCATTCGTTATATTATCAGTACAGTGAGTCGTAGAATGTGCCGATAGACATGTCGTATATTACATGTCGTGCATTTTATACGCGGTATAGAATGTTGCAGTCAGTTGTTCAGTGATATTGAGATCAGAGTGTTCATCACGCTATTACGTTTTACACACAATTATACGTAATTACATTCTACGCACAAAGTTACACATCTACTGCTATCCTCCAGGAATAATTAGATCGTATCTTTATGTTTTTTATCTTTTTAAAAACGTGAAATTCTATGGAAGATATAAAAACGCATTAATCTCCTGTTTCTTTGAGAAACTCCAAATTTCTTAGGATGAAACGTCATTCGAAGCGAAGAAATTTTTCACTCATGCAGAGTGAAAAGTCCCTTGAATCTTCCGCTCTGAATCGTCGAGTGAATATTTTCCTTCGAAATTGCGTTTGTGAATCTGATCTATTTGTTAGAAACGTTCATTTGTATGCAGTCAAAAGTCATTCTGAGTTTGAGTGAATTATTCCTTCATACGATTCAGAGCGACATTATTGTTCGCTTCGAGTAAATTTTCACTTCTTTTCAGTGAGATTTCGCACTAAGAATTTCAGAAAGAATGCGCTGGCATTTTGTAGACATTTAGTCAAAGAGATTCGCAATTGTGTTCTTCTTTATATTGGAAGAAATAGGAAAAATGAAGTACAACCTTTTGGTATAGGAAGATAGGAGGAAGATAGGAAGTAGGATAAAATAGATAGATAATCTAAATAAAAAGATAGGATAAAATAGATAAGTAATCTTGCTGTGTCAGGAACATGTATGCGATATCTACAATTAGTAGATCTAACGTGTGATATATTAAACATGACAAATGCAGAAGCAACGTGAGAAAAGAAAAGGAAAACCTTAATCTCTTTTGTATTCATTTTGAAGAATCGTTGTATTATAGAATCGTTACGTCGATTTTTATTTTGAACATCAGAAATATAAGCAATTTTTAGCGTCATAGTTTTCATTAAAAACGTGCATAAATCTCTAAAGTAATTAAACCCAGGAAAGAAAAAGAAAATACAAGTTCTACTCGATATGCTTTATCACACAATGTAGGCCATTGCGTATTATATAAATTAAATATTGCGTTGTACGTGTTGCGTAAACGATTATCGATTATCATACTTCTTAATAGCTTCTCAACATATGAGAAGAACGTAAAAAATAACGTAATTATTGCATCTTATCTTTCTAACATATTATGATATCTTTACAGATGTAGCCGTGTATGTGACGGAATTGGATAATCATAGTTTGTCCAGTGCATATATACAGACACAGCGCGAGATATTACGTAAAGTGTGCTGTAGAATTGTCGTCAGACAATTGCTCCACTTAAATCAATATGAAGTTACTATCAATTGTTCTCGTGATTTTGGTGAGCTACGATCAAATCGCAGTTGCCTACCGGATCCTCGGCATATTCCCACTTCATGGACCGAGTCATTGGGTCATGATGCAACCTCTGATGAAAGGTTTGGCGCAACGTGGCCATCAGGTAGACGTTGTCTCGCATTTCCCGCAGAAGAAGTTGATACCAAATTACACAGACATTAGTTTGGTCGGCTCTATCCCCGAAGTTCGGAACAACGTATCCGCATCTGAAGTTTCGTTGTTCGGCAAATTTTCCATGAAATATCTGACCCAAATGGCCGGGAACAATATTTGCGAGTTACTAGGCCACCCAACATTGCAAAATCTGATCAAGAATCCACCGCAGGATCCTCCCTACGACCTCGTTATTACAGAGGTATGCTCAATAGACTCTTATTCGAAGACACAAGAAGCCACATACATTTAGTGATTCCGTTAATTATGTACATTCAGTTTTAATAAGGCTTACGCATGTACTAAAAAGTCATTAGCTTTTCTAATCGTACGCGTTATACCCAAAATACGCATTATTGTGTAAGATATGATATCGTATCGCACTATGTCCAAATGCGACAAAAATATGATAAAAACGCAATAAAATTAGAAACGAGTTTTAGTTCAATGAATGTAAGTGGCTTTGTAGAAAGTGGAAGTCGCTTAGTACATGAGTATCGCTATAATAAAATTTCAATCAAGTCCCCATTTGAGTGAATTTTGCTTGAGATCGGATACAAATTATGCATAAAATTACATTAATCCTTCACACACGAGTCACTTCATGAGAGCTTCGACTTTGTCCCACTTTGAAACATAGATATCGTACTTGTATATTTGCTATGTCTACATATCAAGAAAAGTAGAATTAAAAATTTAATCGCTATATACATTTCTTAACACAATTTCTTCTGATTATAAAGATTACTAGAAAAAGAAACTCGTCCGAGAAGTAATAACACAGAATAGTGAATAATATGATAACAAGTTTCATATAAAAACGATGAAAGATAACGTTGCATGTTGAAAGATAGCGTAATGTTACAGTCTGTAAAGTAAGAGCGTGTACGGCATAAATGGCAGTTGGCTTCAAATATCGTCCTAGTTTTTTGTGAGCCGATAGATGAAATCTTTGTCGTGAATGTCGTGAATTGTCGTGAATGTCGTGAATGTCGTGAATTGTCGTGAATCTTTGTCACAAAAGATTCAGTTGGCGTCGAACTCTAACCTGAGAAACACGTTAACCGCCATGAATGCCGCATTCGCATCGTCGCACGCTACGAGGCTGTGTTCCTTTGTTCCCACCCCAAGAGACCAAAAATGTCATATGCAGTGGCTGCTAAATACATGGGAAAGTCAAAATTCGTCGCTAAGTGGGTTCAGCAATATAAGAAAATCAAAAATGTCAATCACTTGCCAGAACGTGGCTCGATAGGCAAAGTGACGCCGAATATGGAAAAAGAATTGTGAATTTGTTTAAGCGGAACCCGACCTTAACAATGCGACAAGGAGCAGCAAAATTAAAACAGAAGGGTATAGAAATATCACATACAATTATTCGAACCCGTCTCCTTGCGCATAACCTCAAATATCGAAGCACAATGAAGAAACCACTGTTAGACCTGTTAGAAAAACATGTGACGAAAAGACTCGCGGATTTACACCTCTTGTGTGTGTGTGCGTGTGTGCGTGTGTGTGCGTGTGTGTGCGTGTGTGTGCGTGTGTGTGCGTGTGTGTGCGTGTGTGTGCGTGTGTGTGCGTGTGTGTGCGTGTGTGTGCGTGTGTGTGCGTGTGTGTGCGTGTGTGTGCGTGTGTGTGCGTGTGTGTGCGTGTGTGTGCGTGTGTGTGCGCGCACGCGTGTGTGTGTGTGTGTGTGTGTGTGTGTGTGTGTGTGTGTGTGTGTGTGTGTGTGTGTGTGTGTGTGTGTGTGTGGTGTGTGCGCGCGCGCGCGCGCGTGTGCATGCGTACGTGATCTACACACACACACACACACATACAAGAAGTGTAAATCTGATCGTGCAACCTCCACGCGATACACCTTGGGTAATGCTAATGCTAGTGCCGACGGTATTGTAAATTTGAAGCTTCATAACTCGGGATGTACTTAACAAAAAATATTTTGTTGTAGTGTTTTGAATAGCTCTTGAAATACGTTATAAGAATATCCCGAAAAAAGTAGGGCGTTCTATTTGAAAAGTTCAAGTTGGCTTTGCCCTGACCTTATTGACGCTAACCAAGGTTAAACTGATAAGATCAGTAAATAGATCATTTTAAACTTTACAACTTTTGCCTGAAACATTTTCTCCAAAAACTGATTGTTTTCGAGATATTTTATCGTTCGTAGATTTTTTGAGAACCCTGTATAAGACTTTTAAATATTTCTGTATCGTTCTTCCTAATCTCCAATTTCTATTGAACGTTTCAACGTGAGAAAACAATTAAAAAATTATGCGAAACCAGGAAATATGTTGTATTATTTATCTCTTTAAATATTACTCTTACTTATTCTGCTTTATTCCGTAATATTTATTTCTTAGTTTCATTTTTAAACATCTTTTCTAATTCAATGAGGCTTGACTCTTGTCGGTAAACGGTTGATAAACTGTCATAACGAACACGGTGCAGAGTTAGTTGCATTTGTCATAACTGGAAATACAGCAAATATCATTATCAACAAAGTCAACGAGTGACTTTTTCCAGAAACCTCTGCATTATCATCCGAATAAGAGCAAGCATCATACTGACCTGTATGTTGCTGTTACACCCTGTACTCTGTGTACACATCGTTCTATAATTTTGCAACAAATATATGAGTGAAAGTCAACATGATATTCTCATCTATCCTGTACCGTTGGATTCGTTTATCGATTTCGACAACTTTGACTCTTCATATCTCCGAAACCATTCCTATACTCAACTTGAAATTTTCCCAGATTAATATATCATCATAAGCTATCATTTAAACCAGAGCTCGGCAAAATATACACGCGACGGCCGATTTTCGACTATCTCCGCCCACCGCTATTCCCTTTACCTCGCCGCTTCGCGCGCTGCCTACAAGCCGCTCGAGCCTCAAGAGCGTGTTTTCAATAGTTTTCACGTCACCCATGAGGTACTTGTTGACGCGTTTTTCTTTAAGTGGTATCCCCAGTAGGCCTCTTCATTTTTCAAAAATGAAATTTATAAAAAATGAGAAGTGTTCTTTAAGCGACGATTCCTTACCACGTCTTATGCGGCTCGCTACATGCAATATCTAAATTGACGTTTCCACTCTTACCAATAAAAGACGCCAAAAATCGAATTGAATATTCTTCATTTAACATATTTTATTTCGCTTCTGTTCAATTAGTTACGGGTTGTTACAGTCATCAGTGGATCAGGCTTACTGGGAATACCACTTAAAAAAAAACGCGTCAACAATAGTACTTGGGTCGTAGCACCCGTGACTACGACCACCATGTGTGTCCCCATGTAAATGTCACCTTGTGTGCGTATGCGTGCGCGCGCGTATGTGTGTGTGTGTATGTGCGTGTGCGTGTGCGTGTGTGGGTGCGTGTGTGTGGGTGCGTGTGTGTAGGTGCATGTATGTGGGTGCGTGTGTGTGGGTGCGTGTGTGTGTGTGTGTGTGCGCGCGTGTGTGTGCGTGTATGGTATATAATACTAAAGTCGGCAGTATACTAATGGCAGAGATTTCCCACAAATCCTAATTCTAATAACGAAAATGTAAAGGTTTCTTTAAGACGCTGTAAAATCGCAAAAAAATAGAGACTTGAATTTTTTTTTATTAAAGGGGAAGAATCAAACTTTCATTCTCCGCAAATGAAATTTTTGAAAAAAAATTACCCAGCCCGTGCGTTTTGTCAAAGATTGCAAAATTTTTAAATCAAAAACATGCCATTGGATTATGGGATCGCACGCTGTAGGAATGAATTGGATCTAAAATCAACCGAAAGCATGTCAAAGTTGAGACTTCAACCTTTAAGTAAAAAAAAAATTCATTGTCTTACGACCATTTATCGCTGAGTAATCATTGGTCAAAGTTGAGCAATTTTCAAAGCAAATTTTTTGATGCCATAATTTTTTTGAGTAGTGTATATAAATCACGGATAGATTGAAAGCGAATATTCGGCCTTGTTAAGTTAACGTTTTTATCATTTTTTGACGAGATATTAATGAGTTGACTCGTGTCATCTGATATATAGCGCGATGAAGTTATTAATTAATCATTATAATTATTCACTACGCTATCGCGAACACGAACAACGATGCTGTTAGCCTTTGTTCAGATTCGAAGTTCGGCAAACTTATATCATTCCTCAATCGAGAGAACAAAAAATATTACCTTGCTTCGCAATAAAAATAATCGCAGCGTCATTGCAAACTATTAGGTCATTAAGTATGAAATGTACCATCTTAACGGTAGCTTATTCATGCGAAGAAGCGAAGAAGCCTGAAGAGCGAGTGACGATGAAATCGCGGAAGGCGTTGTCCACATTTTGTTGAGAATTGAATATTTTTCCTTGCAAAAAGTGTTTAAGTACCTGGAAGAAGTGGTAGTCAGTTGGTGCAAGGTCTGATAAATATGATGGGTGATAGAGAGTTTCCAAGTCCAGCTGCTATAGTTTGAGCAACGTTGTTTGTGCGACATGTGGTCGAGTGTTATTTTGCAAGAGGATTGGCCTGTCTCTATTGACCAATCTCGGCTGCTTAAACGCAAGCATCCTCATCATTTCGTCCAGTTGATTACAGTAGATATCCGATGTAACCGATTGACCAGGTTTCATGAAGTTGTAGTGGACAATACTAGCGCTGGACTACCAAACATATACCATTAATTTCCTTTTGTGAATCGGTTTTGGACTGTGTTTCAGCACTTCATCTATATCCAACCATTATGCTGAACGCTTATGATTGTCGAAACGAATCCATTTTTCATCACACGTAATAATATGATGTAAAAATGGTTCACCTTTATGTCATGATAGTATACAAAGGCAAGCTTCGAGACAATTTCTCTTCTGACGCTCGTTTAATTTATGCGGAACCATCCAGCTTCTTTACCTTGCTGATTTGTTTCAAGTGACTCAATATTGTTAGAATAGTAACGTTAAATCTTGTTGCTAATTCACGCGTACTTTGAGATGTATCCGCTTCCACTACAGCTTTCAACTCATCATATCTACCTTGGTCTACGGGTCGCCCACGTGGTTCATTTTCAAGATTAAAATCGCCAGAACGAAACTTCTCAAACCATCGACGTACTGTGCATTTATTAGCTACATATTCATCAAACACTTCGTTGATATTTCAAGTTATCTGCATTGTATTGGTTTCACGACGGAACTCATATTCGAAAATAACACAAATTTTTAGCTTATCCAT